TATATATATGAATGTGTTCCTTTGAAGCATTACTTTTCGTTACACATCCCCATTCTACAGTGCCAATAATATATTCCATATTATCTTTGCATATCTTCATTTTTAACGCAACATTGATAATAATTTTACTCTTCTCAGTGTCGAAATGTCTCTTCTTATGGTGCTAGAAAGCTGTAATTTTCCAATTATTGGCCAATCAAAAACATCCTATACCAATCAGATGCAAACGTCACGAAAGTTTTAAGCGCTTCATTTGCTGTCGTAATATTATGTTTTTAAAAGTTTCCAGTGAAAAGGATGAAAATGATTTCAATGTGGATGACGATGGTCGAAAATTGCTCGAATCAATGAGCATTGAATGTGCTGTATACGAAAATATGAAAATTATCTCGATTAAGCGTCAGATTATTAATGAATGTGTTGCATATGTAAAAGTTTGTTCAGTTGTCTTTTTATTCTAACTGAGTACTATTCAATGTTATACTGTAAATGTGTTGAATTAAGTGTCTGTATCATGTTGTCAAAAATTCGTTCATTCCATTGTTGTTATTCTCCAGGTTATTATTAAATTATTGTTAAAGTTATTTTTTCGATTATTGTGTTTTGAAATTATAAATGATATTTTGTTTCATTTAATAAAAAGGTGAAGCTGATTTGTGATTTTTTTAAGCAACGCTGAATGCCCTCCCCCATTCTCTCATGCACACTTTTGTGTATTAGTATTGCTCAGGATAAGCAGCAACCATGCAAATATGTCTTAAATTTCATACAAATTGCATCGTGCGAATACACAATCGAAATTTGAAAGAAAGGAATTGAACGTTCCAAATGATTATATTTTAAATAAATTTTCTAATAAGCAATACTGAATGCCCTTCACTCTTCTCAATGTCGAAATGTCTCTTCTTATGGTGCTAGAAAGCTAGAAATTTTCTAATTACTGGTCAGTCAAGAACATCCTATACCAATTAGATTCAACCGTGAAAATCGGTACTTACAAGTCACTAAGAGTTCAAGCCTATCCGTTAATACCGACATTACATTGTGATTCCTTGACATTCTTCTTTTCGCACAGCAAACGACTAGTGATATTATCGGAGGGGATATTATCCTCCGACTTCATGAAATTCTAATTTTGATTATTGATTTGGCGATTATAGGAGGTGTTCGGCTACTTTCATATATTGCTGGATGGATAATTTTGAGAGAATGGTTCTAAATAAGCCCAAAAGTGCACTTAATGCGAAAATTTATCATGATGTAAACATTTTAAATATTCTCAACTGCTTTTTTCTTTTCTTCTTAAAGTTTTTATCTGTTTCGTAATTTACGTTTGAATTAGTGTTGAGAAGTGCAAGTTTTTTACGAGATCCCCTAAAGGCAAATTTTGAGTATCGGTCGGTTGTCGATCGGTGGCAATCGCAGTTGGGTTTGCCGAGCACCTCACCGAACAAGATCTTTCAGTTGCGGTCGGGGGCCTGGGAAAGTGGGTCTAGTTTGCTTTAGTCTTTTAAAAAATTTTAAGAAAAACGTGATGGTACATTCAAAAAATTTTTAAAACAGTATAATAAATAATAGTGTGGTGTAACAATTGAACAAGTACAGCAACTGATAAGAAGATCATATTGAAATTGAAAGTAAAACGTAAGTAAGTAAATAATAAGCAAGCAAGAGAAACTACATCATAGCATAATTTATAACTGAGAAATAATTGACCATAATCATAACATAATTCATTCATCATGACTGCGAAAATTCCACAATGTGGCATTGTTCCACCGAACATTTTTCAACTGAATGTCATGTCATATGATAAAGTGCATCTTGAATTTGTAACTGAAATTGTAGTTTGATGATGGAATATGCGAATAAACGATTACGAATTTTCACAGTCCAAATTCTCCGAT